AAAAAAAAAAAAAAAAAAAAAAAAAAAAAATGTAAATTTTTAGCCGTCCCTCAGTTCCAGGTTCATCTCTTCATCATCTTTCTGCCTTTTGTCTCAGTGGTTACTCTCCCACACAGTCTGTCTGTTTCAAAGCCTTTGTTTGCAGCGTTTGCAGACCCAGTGACCATCGTCCCTGCATTCGACAACGGAGTTCCTTGACTAGAAGAATCAGAAACAACCTTCTTTTTCCTTTCCATCCTGTACACACCTTGTACAGAACGTAGGCATTCACCGCCACCAGGTCCAGCATGTTGTAAAATACAGCTACTGGCCACCTGCTGTCACGCCCAGCTCGTACGATCCTCGTGTTTGCCACGCCCCCCCTCGTTACCTCTTGTGACTACCTGATTGTACTCAGCTGTTGCTTGTTGAATTCAGCCTGTCTTGTATATTTAGTCCGTGTCCCAGTCAGTATGCCGAAATCTGTCATTGTATTGTTTGATGTTCGTCGCCTGTCTGCCCTGATTAAACCCCATATTTCTGAAGTTACGGCTCTCTCGCCTACCTCCTCGTTCGCCCGTCCACCAAACGTAACACAATGACTAATCTCGGAAGACTAACTCAGATGCGGACTAAATACACAGGACAAGCCAAGAGGAACAGGAAACCGGTTATGACAATCGGGAATTAACACAAGGTAACGAGGTGGCCGTGGCACACGAGGATCGGACGAGCTGGCTGAAGTGCCCGACCGCCCGCCTGCTGCTGCTGCCGCCGCTCTGCCCGAGGTGCCTGCTGAGGCGCCCCCTGCTGGCCACACGCCCGAGGTGCCTGCTGAGGCACCCCCTGCTGGCCACACGCCCGAGGTGCCTGCTGAGGCGCCCCCTGCTGGCCGAAAGCCCGAGGTGCCTGATGATGCCGGCGCTCTGCCCGCGGCCCTGCCTGAGGCCGCCGCTCTGCCCGACCCGCCTGTCCAGCCCGGCTCGCCTGTCCAGCCCGCCCGCGGCTCCGGCTGCACCGCCTGCCGCCTGCCGCCTCGCCCGAGGCTCTGACTCCTGCACTGACTCTGTCTGTTCCAGTTCCCCCAACTCCGGTCCCGGACAGCTTGACTACCGCTCCTACCTCCATAGAGGAGGAGCTTGAAGGGGACCCCTCGAGGACCTCCCTTCTGACTTTTTTTACCCTTGCTCCAACCAGGACGATTCCGGCAAGTGCCCCGCCTGTCTGTATCCCGAAAGGGAAGGGGACACCGGCGTAGGACTGTGGTCCTGCCCACCCTGCCCCCTGGCTCGCCCTAGTTGGCTTTGGCTGGGACTCGGGGCGTGCCTGCGCTTCCTCCGGGTCGGTGGTCGCCTGCGGGTCCCCCGGCACCAGCGCGTCAGCGGACGGCGCCTTCACCTGCTGTGGCAGCGCCTTCGCTGGCTGTGGCTTCCCCCTCCTCCTTGCCTTCGCTGGTGCCCCCTCCGACTCCCTCCTTGTCTCCTCCGTCTGTCCCTCGTCCTGTCTCCTTGTCTCCGTCGTGGTCCCCCCCTGCTCCCTCCTCCCAGGCGCCTGCGGCCCCTCTGGCCGCCGCCCGTCTGGGCTCCCTCGGGCTCCCCCGGGCTCCCCTTTGTTCTCCATCCGTTCCTGTCTGGTCTCCCCTGTCTGCTCCTCGTGTTTCTGCTCCTCCCACTGTGGGTCCTTCGTTCCCTCCTGGTCCTTTTGTTCCGCCTTTCTCCCCTTCTCCTGTGTCTCCTTTCCTGGGCTGTCTGTCGGCGTTTCCCATTCTTTGTCAGGTCTTGTCTTACTTCCTGTCCCTGTGTCTCTTTTGTCCCAGTTGCCTCGTTGATGGTTTCCTTTTTTTGCAGGTCCTGTTCCCCGGTCTCGTCTTGTCCATCGCCTCCCCTGGGGCGTGCCCGGGGTTCTGTCACGCCCAACTCGTACAATCCTCATGTTTGCCACGCCCAACTCGTTACCTCTTGTGACTACCTGATTGTACTCACCTGTTGCTTGTTGAATTCAGCCTGTCTTGTGTATTTTAGTCTGCGTCCCAGTCAGTATGCCGAGATCCGTCATTGTATTGTTTGATGTTCGTCGCCTGTCTGCCCTGATTAAACCCAGTATTTCTGAAGTTACGGCTCTCTTGCCTACTTCCTCATTCGCCCGTCCGCTGAACTTAACACCTCCGTGTTGCTGCTCGTACTGAATACATGCGCGCCATTCTAACAGTGACGTGGAGAATTTATTCACCGTGCCCAGTAAAGTGAAGCAGTCTGTGTGACGGTGACAGTGAGGTGAAGAAATTGTCCGTCGTGACATTTCTCCCATCGTCCAGAAATGGCTCCATTAGAGTGCATGTATATTATGTACAGAGTGGATATATAAATATATGTACAACACTGTGGATATATCTATATGGACAGGCACGAAATGGAGTGACAGGGATTGATAAGAACTAATATTGCATATGAGAAATATTGCACATAGAAACTACCATGGTGTATTGGATGTGTGTGTTTTAGTCTGTGTGTGGGGTCAGCTGCAAGGACTTTGTTGTAGAGTCTGTCAGCGATTGGAAGGAAAGACCTTCTGAATCTCTCCTTCCCACATCGTGGATGCAGGAGCCTGCCACTGAAGGAACTGCTCAGTGCCGTCAGAGTCTCCGGCAACACTTGTGAAGTGTCTGAGGTGGAACAGAGGTGGGGGTAGGGGTGTCTGTAGCACATGTTGGGGACTGCATGAGTGAGGGCAGTATGGGTGGAAAGGCAGGGGCAGATGAATCAAACCTGTTGAAGTGATTTAGTTCATTTGCCCACCTCACATCCCCCACAACCTTGAGAGTTCTGTTCTTTGTGTGCTCGTTGAACCTCTGATTGTGCTTCTAGCCAAGGAACTCTGTTGCCGATTTATGCAACAAAAGGCAATGGAGACAGAGAGGAAGGCTGCTGCAGCGTTTGCTGCTGCTGTGCCAGGACTTGTATGGACAACTCAGTGCCAGGTACAAGAGAACTGCAACAGAAATCGCAGCAAGTTTACCTGTGCAAAGTGCTACAGATTCACCTGGGCCAAATGCAGGGACAATGGTCACTGGGTCTGCAAACGCTGCAGAGTTTTATAAATAAAACAGACTTGTGTTTCCATATACAGTGGTACCACGGTTCTAGAACTTAATCCGTTCTGGACTCCGGATCGAATCCTAGAAAGTTCGAGTTCTGATCGAATTTTCCCCATAAGAAATAATGGAAAACCAATTAATTGGTTCCCGGTCCCCCAAAATTTTTTTTTTTTTTTTTTTAGCATTTAAACACAAAATGAACAAGATAAAACAGCCATGCTGTTCAACCAGATAGTTACTTCAGCATTAGTTCAAATACAAGAACTCGTGGCCATAGGTGGAAATTAGCGGGAGAACATTTCAAACTGGATTTACTTCTTCACACAGCGTGTAGTCAGAGTATGGAATAGTCTTCCTGATAACGTAGTGCAAGCTGAATCCTTGGGTTCCTTAAAATCAGAGCTAAATCAGATTTTAACAACTCTGAGCTATTAGTTAAGTTCTCCCCAAGCGAGCTCAATGGGCTGAATGGCCTCCTCTCGTTTGTATAGTTCTTATGTTCTTAAGAAGAGCATATACTGTACTAAACACATCTAAGCACATTTATCAAAACAGTAATTTGTAAAGTAAGAAAATAAATGTATCCAAACAATATGTAAAGTTAAAAAAAAATCAATGTGTCCTGCCCCGATCGTCCGCTCCTTCCGTGTGCCAAGCCCCCTTGTTAAACTTGTGTGGAATCCCCGTGTGATCAGCTGTTTCTGGTTGTTGTCATTAGTCCTCTGTATTTAGTCCGCGTTTCAGTTTGTTTCCCCAGTCCGGTCATTGTATTGTCCGTCAGCGTTTTGCCTGCCTTACCTGTAATTAAACCCCGTATTCCCCAATACCCTGATGTCTGCGCCTTTGTCTCCGTTCCGTCCCCGCTAAGCAGGACAATATTATTATAATTAAATGTATTAATGGTTTATTATTAATGATATTAAAATAATTAATAAGAAATCTTTATTTTATAATGTATTTTATTATATAATAATAATTACTGTTACTATCATTGTCTAAATGTATTTTTACTGTCTAAATATATGTATTCAGCTAGTGTAAACATGCACGATGCTATCACAGCGAATGCGAGGCTGAGACTGAAGCGTTACCCTTTGTTTCCGCTGAGAGACGTGCCGCGTGACTCATTTTCCCACACGTGCAAGTTATCTTAGGTCGGCGTTCACGGTTCAACTTCTGAGATTCAGATTGAGTTCTAGGTAAAATTTTTTTTAACTGGTTGGTTCGACTTTTAAGAAATTCGAGTTCTAATGAGTTAGAGAACTGAGGTACCACTGTATTTTGAACGTCACTGATGTGGAGCAGTGGAGACACGTCAGCACTGATAAGAATCCAGCAGACTGTGTCTCAAGAAGGCAAAAGGTAGAAGATTTCCTGAAAAACAGAATTTTGATATCTGGTCCAGATTTCCTTTACCGTCCAAGTGAATTCTGGCCAAGTCTCGCAGCAAACATTTCCAAAATCCCTGTAGATGATCCTGGAATCAAAGGAGTCAGAGTCAATTCCATAAATGTGGAAGAAAACATAACTCCATTCCAGAGGTTGATTGGCTATTTCTCATCATGGACAAAGTTGAAGTGGATTGTGGCTTGGTTCTTGTAGCTTAAAGCCTATCTTCGAGCACTGAGGCAAAGACATAGGGAGTTGTGCACAACAGACATGGGTAACAGCCACAACAAAGGTCCACTTGTTCAGGTGAGGAAGGAAAAATTTAAAGGAAGCTACAAACACACAGGCATATCAGTGGAAGACCCTGATGAAGTAGTGCGACATAATTAAATTCTGTCTGATGGAAAAAATTTTCAGATTTCAGACCTACATAACGGACAGAATGTGAAGCACAGTAGCCACTCGTAAAAACTGAATCCTGTATATTACAAGACAGTCTGTTGTGAGTTGGTGGAAGGTTAAGTCGGGCACCTATGCCAGAGAAATCTAAACAACCCTGGGTAAGGACTTTTCCATTGTCAATTTAGTTCTTCGTCAGATTCATGTGAAAATAGCACATGGAGTTCGTAACCACATGCTGTCAGAACTAAGAGAAAGATTTTGGATCCCTGGCATCATCACAGCCATTCGAAAGGTCCTATCCAATTGTGTGACCTGCCATTGTTTACACGAAGTAGCTGGGAAACAACTAATGGCTGACCTTCCATAAGATCAAGTAACACCTGTTGACCTACCCTTCACAAGAGTCGGAGTGGATTATTTTGGACCTTTTGATGTGAAACGTGGAAGAATCCATGTAAAGAGATACGGTGTTATATTCACATGTTTAGCCATCCGTGCCATTCACATTGAGCTCGCCTCATCACCGGACACAGATTCATGTATAAACGCTATTCGCCGCTTTGTAGCGTGAAGAGGACAGGTGAAACAGATTCTCTCTGATAATGGAGCCAACCACAAGTTGAAGGCATCTGTTGCCGACTGAAATACCTCCAAATTTCAGCATTTGTTTCACCAGTTAGGGATTAAGTGGACATTTAATCCGCCCACAGCCTCTCATCATGCCAGTGTTTGGGAGAGGTTGATAAGATCAGTGAAAAAGGTTCTCAATTCCACCGTAAGAGAACAAGATCTGGACAAGGAAAGACATTGACCCCTAAACATCTTTTAACACTGAAAATGAAACCATTGTTACCGGCTTGGTAGTTCGACAAGGAAGACCGATACTCAAAACACAGATGGAGGCAAGTACAATCATAGACCTCTTCTGGAAGAAATGGACCAACAAATTTTTTACCTCAAATCCAAGTGCGGCAATGATGGACAATAGCATCAAGAAACTTTGTAGAAGTTCATGGATTATGGGGAAAGTCATCGAGATAATAGCAGACAAGAAGGGTCTTGTTCAAAGTGTTTGGATTAAAACAAAGACCAACATATTGGATAGATCAATCACAAAGATTTGATTACTGATGGAATCAGAAAGGGCAGGTGGTAAAGATTGAACCCCAGTGATGAGCCATATGCTAGTAACCTCTGGCTCTTTTTCTTTCTTTATATCTCACTTTATATCATATTATTTTAGAAATGGAATCTAACAAGCTGATACTGGACTGAAATTAAAATATTGGACGCTAATGGACTTAATTAGTTTTCACTTTGTGGTGTTAGTATTACAGTATAAATTCCTGTTGGATAACATTGGTGAATTTGTAGTTGTGATAATTGTTCTCAAGTTTAACGTTCAGAACAATTAGGGGCGGGTAATGTAGGAGGTAAGTTTGTGCAGTTAGGAGCCATTTAATTGCACTTGACTTTTGAGTTTAAAAAGATGTCTGTCGCTTTAAGAGGGATTCATGCACGTGCCGACTTAAGGGGGAGAGGAAGAGTGGCTTTCAGGAGAGTGGATTTTCACGGTTTTTCTTTGACCGTGTTTCTTAATTTTGCATGGAAAGATGGAAAAATGCAGTTTATTTCTCTTATGATAATTGCTCATTGTCAAAAATAAATAGATAATAATGAAACCTGAGTAACTAAAACTGAAGCCAGTCGTTTTTTAGTTATTTGGATCCACGAACAAGGGAACACGCATCAGCCAAAAGACTCCACTCAGATAAGGAGATCGGAAACTCTGACGGATTGCATTCACACATTTTTACAATTTCAAGATTATACAAATGAGGACCTGGAAAAATGTCCCCAAAAGTAAGGAAGTTTCTGGCTTTACCACACTTGGAGACATTTTGGTTCAGAGGTCACATTCCTGCAGAATCCCAAATCATCTAGATTTAATTCACTGTGACTAATTAGCTGGTTATGATGAAGCTGTATATTCAGATGGAGGCATTTTATAAACGCCTCTACATTAGGAAGTTACTAGGATGTCATTATAAAAATGCTCCTGAAAGAGTTTATATGTCACCCCTGATGTTTGGTTTGTATGTCACTGGATAACAATCCACTGCTGTCAAGGCACCTGCAGGAGAAAATGAACAGCATGTAAATGAGATGTAAGACTTCAGAACACAGGCCGAGGTGAGCTTTGCCCCAGCAGGGGGTTGTAAATGACATGCTTCATCTTCCTCGTGGTGTAACACAAGACTATAGTCTTTTAATATAACTTGATGTCCAAAGGGTTTCAGATGTTTATCTTTGAGTGTGGAGTCACATGACGTGGCAGAGAGGTGAGAAAATAACACAGACAAACAGCTTAAAAATAGCCTGTTTTATTACCACAAAACCATCCTAAGCTGCATCGCCTTCAGCAAAGCCTGCATACGCCCCTCTGTTCAGCTGTGCGGCCACCTGCCTGCATTTTACTTCTGCTAAACTGTACAGAGAGAAGGGTGGCGCTTGCAGTTTGCTAAGTTGGCGCCCCCTCAGAATATGGCGCCCTATGCAGCCTCCTATGTTGCCTAATGTGTTGACAGGCGCATTTAAAATGGGTAAGAAAATTGAAATATCAGCACGCTGCCTTCGCGTAACCGTTCCCTTGCAACACGAGACAGCTAGTTAACATTAGACATCTTCAAATAAATGACAAGGCGTGACTTTTCTTGACCGTTTACCAGAAGACGTCCTTGATTTCCTTTTTGTAAGACTACACAAATGCAAACAGAAAAGTTCACAATTAGTAATAGTAAAAAAGAATAAAATTAACTTAAATCCCTTACAACTAAGTAATGCATTATAAAGCCGTTTTAAAAGCGACCATTGTACAACACAAACATACATCGCATTTCCCAAACTTACAATATAGCAACCGAGCATAGTTAGCACGCATTAAACAACCCAAGATTGATATTTAATTGAAATACTTCTGCCTTACTGAGTACTGTTAATTAAACAGATTTATCACAAATTAAATGAAACACATTCACTTACAGAATGATGTCCAAAACGAAGCATGATAAGAAAACCGTTGCAGAAAAGCAGGAGATATGCGCACCACATGCTGACTAAATGAAACTAAACCAACTTCCTGCTTGCATGCGACATTTTACAATAAAAGACGCCACTAGGTGGCGGCATAACGCAGTAATATAACATGCGAAACATACCATTTAAACACCAGTTAAAGAGAACAGAACAATTAGAAAAACAGAATGGATGAAAGAGGGAGTTTTTACTTCATGTCACTTCCTCCTTCTCTCTGATGCAAACTTGGCCTGAGTAGATCTTGTGGCCTGCTGTCCTTTACTCCCTGAAAAAAAATACATTTATCTGTCTGAAATACAGGGGGCGCAGTGACACAGTGAGCGCCACGCTACCTCACTTCCTGTCTTCGTGTGTCATTTGTATTTTCTCTCTCTCTCTGTTTCCCCAAAGACCTGCAGCTTAGCTGGGCTGCTCTCTCCACATTCCCTGCTGTGTCTGTGTGTGTCTCTGGGTCCCTGTCCATCCCCTGCCCTCTGCTCCAGGTTCCTCCTGACCCTGCACTGGATAACTGAGGATGGCATTTTAGGTCATTAAAGACAGAGCTTTTGTAAAACCACATCCAGGGTGAAGATTTTCATGAATTCCATTTTCAGTGTCTACATGTAGACAGGGAAAACAGAGTTTTTGGCTCGTAACAGATTGTGCACCATTATCTATTTTGTTTTACATCAGAATGTGTGGAAAAGGCCTGAGATGATGGGAGATGAACAAGCGGGGCAATCTATCCGCACTAGTGAGGAGCCAGAGGGCAAGTGCAATTTAATGTCTAGGTGGGACACGTCGGACCCCACTGTTTGGACGGCTTCCAGCTCGTACGAGCAGATTGTAAGTAAATAAAGTGAAAAAGCATGGAGGGGCTGGGCTGGCTGTTTTTATTAACTCCAACGGGGAAAGATATATAAAAAAATTTTAAAATGTACAATAAGCCGTCTAGGTCCATCTGCTGGAAGAGAAGTTTAGGAGGGTGCAGGTGAGGAATGCCTGGACACCGGACTACCTCACATGCAGGCCCCAGTGTGTCTGCATATCACATGTGGTCCTGAGCACACAGAGCACCCCAAGGTACCGGACTGGATCATTCCTGTCCACTCTCTACAGCACAGACTTCCAGTACAACACTGGCTTTTGCCACCTCCATAAATTCTCAGGTAAGTGTGCATTAGTGACGGGACGGAAATAAGGTGCAGGAGCCCAGTGGAGAGCTTCCTCGGATGGTGTAAGGAGAATCACCTGCAACTCGTCAAGAAGACAGAGGAGTTAGTGGTGAACTTCAGGCGAACCAGAGAACTACTGGCAGCCATGACTACCCACGGGAGAAAATGTGGAGAGGGTACACTGTGGTAATTATGTTACACCCAAAACTACATATGTGTCTGATCATCATGTTAGGCACCCCATGCAAAGCAGTTAACCAAGCTGTCAAAAAATTGCAGTGATACAGCTTGGTTGTGTTTTTGGTTACCACAGTACATTTTGTTATCATTTTGTTGTTTTCTATTGCCATTTTTTCTGTTATTTAATGCTGCATGACTTTTTTGTTTGCTACTGTACTGTCTTAAGATCTGAAGAAGTTACATGTGCATGCTGGTGAACTTTACATACTGTAATGTACAGCCTTGCAATGTTGAAACTGGTATCTTTCACATGAATCAGTAGCAGTTTGCTAAAGAAATATGATCAGTCAGTGACAATGACAATAAGAAAGTGGGAACAGACTATCATTCAGAATTGTGCAGCTCAGGATCATACTTACACTGACATACTGACAAAATATATCTAAGCATTTTGACTCTCATGGTTAAAATTAGGTGGATTGTACTTTTCATTTTGGTGGAATTATTTGCTTTTGAGACATGGGCTAATTGTTTTGGGAAAGTTTACAGGCTTTTGCAGTTAAACCAGGGGGGTTGTGCTATATGCACGAATTGTTTTGAGAAATGCTCTTACAGTCTTGAGAATATTAAATTTGTTTTATTAGAATTCAGTGATCATTGTTGACACACCACAGCACACAACAACGAAATGTGTCCTTTGTATTTAACCCATATGTGACATCGTGACATAGCAGGGGGCAGCTAATTCAGCACCCGGGGAGCAGTGCTTGGGGGCGGCACCTTGATCGGGGTACCTCAGTAATGCCTTGTTGGTCAGGGATTTGAACCAGCAATTTTTCAATTACAAGTACGCTTCCCTAACCATTAAGACACCACTGCCCGTTACGAAATGTGCCAAACTGAGAAAAACTGTTCATGTCAAACACACCCGTTTCAACATTGCAGGGTTCCGCATTACAGTATGTAAAGTTCACTGGCGAGAGGGAGCACTAGAATGTACATGTAACACCTTCAGATCTCAAGACAGAGTACAATAGCAATCCAAAACGTCACAAAGTAAAAAAACAATAAAACGGCAGTACAAGAACAATAAAATTACAACAAAATCATTTACTGTGGGAACCAAAAACACAACAAGGTGTATCCCTGAAATTTATAGAATATTTTTATATCATTTTGAAAGATTGGTTAACTGTCTTGGCGAACACCATGACAACATGCATGTATTGTTTCGGGTATAAAATTTTTACTTTGGAAAACTACATAATCTACTATATTTTCAGCAATGAGACTAAAGCTACTGAAAATTGTATCAAATGATGACAATTGTACAAAACCATTTGTATATATGTACTATAATATTTGGAAATCTATGTAAAGCAATGAGAAATGATGTTCTGCTGTGCAGAAGTGACATTTTGGTGTAGGGATCACACTTGCTGTTTTGCAAATGTTAATTGTCATGTGAGAAATGCTCCAATTGAGAAAAACTGTAATATTATGTCAAAATAAATATTGTAAAAATGTATTTGTGGATCTTTTGTTGAGTACATTTACCAATAGAAGTATATTTGTATTTCTATAACAAAACTCCCACATTCCGCCCTCCGTCCCACCCTGCCAACATCTCTTTCCACCCCATGTAAATTTTCTAGATCTGCCACTATGCAACATTTGAAGTATACCAATCGCTTCGCTGAGCATCTATAGGATACAGAAATACAGAAATGATAAAGAAATACAGAAATGATAAAGCATTAAATATACACTCACCTAAAGGATTATTAGGAACACCTGTTCAATTTCTCATTAATGCAATTATCTAATCAACCAATCACATGGCAGTTGCTTCAATG